TGCTAATGGTGTGAGGGGGAGGAGTTGGTGTGGGTAGAATGTTGGAAATATGCCCTAGGACAATCATAGTTTATGATTTATCAATAAATATTTAATGCTCATTAATTAATAAAGTCACAAACTCATTTTATGTTAATTATTATTATGAGTTTTCTTTATTAATATTTAAGTCTCTGAATATTCTGTTTAGTAGCTAATTAAGTATGTGACTTAATTGTGGAATGCTACACTTTAAAATAAACATAATATTCTAATTGTCCCTGGTCTAATATTATTAATTTGGAACATTAATAATTATTAGACCAGTATGTGGATTAACTGATGGCTATATTCCACTAGTCATGGGTATAGAGATATCAAGTTAATAATATAGATGCTTGTTAGGGAACAAGTTCATTGGACAGACCCAACTTGAGGACACTGCTAGGTTATATGTCATCAGTGTTGTCCTCAATAATGATGAGGTGCTATATTCTTATACTTGAGATAATCATGGTTACTTGCATGAGAATTAATATGTATTAACACCATTAAATGTTATCTTTAAATGGGTAATTATAAAGGTGGTGATTGTACATATTATGAACCATGTAGTAGTATGTGAATTATCAAGATAGTTTTTGTCACTCTTGTAAAGCGAGAGAAAGATATCTATTGGGCCCCTTGACAAGTAAGATTAATTAGCATGGCCATGCTCAAATGTAGTGTCATTTGATGAAGATTAATCTTACTTGGTAATCAAGAAATATTAATTCAGAATAACAAGGATGACACGACCTAACCTTGTCTCAATTAAGATATCGTTTGACAAAAGAGAACTATTAGCGCAAATTAATCATTAAAAGGTTATGTCAGATTTAATTGACATTTATATATTTTGGATAGTCATAATGCCTTGCTAGAGGCCGCTTATGATTTGTGAGGCTCGAATTAATTTTATAGCCCACTGCCAATAATATATAAACCTGCAGGGTCACACACCTAAGTGATCTGGATCATTAATGTTTGTTAATAACATTAAAATAGCCTGATTAGCCCAATTCGAAATAGGGTTTCAAAGGGTATTGGGCTAGGGCCTCTTTAAGGGTTTTATTAACTATAAAACCCCTTCTTTCCTCCTCTTATAAATAGGGCCATATAGACCCACGAATTTTAAGAGTTAAAATTCACTTCTTAAACCTAGAGTAGAGAGGAAGAAAGAAGAGAACGCTAGCACGTTCCCTGCGGCCGATCCAGTCACGTGCGTGTGGATACCGGTAGAGCTCGGGATCGTTTTCTCGGACTGTCTGACATCCTTAATTAAGATTGCCATGTAAGTCCCTCTTAAATCTTGTAATTTCGTTTATAGTAAGAACCTCAGATCCGGTTGTTTACTTTTGGGTAGTAAAATTTTCGTTTATTCCGCTGCGTTTTTCTGCCCGAAACCCAACATAGAATCCATTTAGTTGTAGAGTTGGACACAAAGTTAGGTACGAGGCTTCCTGTGATGCCAGTGTTCCATGTTCTAGGCTCCGGCCCTGACGTGGTCCTGAGACTCACTCCTTTGTGCACAATGTGATTCTCCGGTTGGGTTTCCTCATACCGTGCTTCATATGCCTTAGCCAATTTGAAGGCTTCCAAAAGTGTTTGATGCTTGGCTATCAATAACTCACGTTTCAATCCTGGTTTTAACCCCCCCACGAAGAAGCAGGTTAGCAAGGACTCCTGAATTCCAGTGACCTTGTTCATGAGTCGCTCGAATTCGGCTTGACACTCAGTAACTGTCTCTCTTTGTGTTAGTTTGGCTAACTCAGCCCGGTGATCTTCGAACTGTTGGTTACCAAACCGTTCTTGTAGTTTTTCTCGGAAATCATGCCATCCATATATGAGATTGTTTTGTTTTGTCTAACGATACCACTCGGATGTGTCTTTCTCCAGACAAAATCCCGTTATCTGTAATCGTTGATCCTCAGGAGTCTTATGAAAATCAAAATACTCCTGAATGCTAAAGATCCTTTGGTGTGGTTCAGTTCCATCAAACTTGGGTATGTCGAGTCTCATGGTAGCCGAACGAGGCAGTGTATGTGGGGCTGGCGGCAACTCCGATCCTCAGCAAAGTTGTGGATGTGTGTCTTCCAATATAAAGCCATCAGGAGGTCTACCAAGACTGGTAGAGGGCTGCTCCTTGCCATGGCCACTCTGAAACCGTGCCTCCATTGTTGTTGCTAGGGCAGTGATCTGCTCTCCTAATTGAGATTGAATTCTGGACTCTTGGGACGCCATTTATTCGCTAATTTGGGTTTGGAACCTGTCCAGCATTTGCTGTAGAGAAGTTAGGTCGAAGGAATTGCTTGTTGTTCCCGTCATTCTGTAGTTAGTGTGGCAATGAAAGCACCAATGATACTACATACGGAAGTATCAAACATCCCTTGTTTAGAGTCAAGGGTAAACTCTAGGAAGAGAGAAAAGCAGTTGAGAGATAAGAAGAAGCAATAAGAATTGTTTTCAGCATATTCCCTTGGGTTCACTACCCCTGGGAGTTAAATACAACTAGGTTCAGTTTCAATTTAGTAATACCGTATTGCTACTATACTATTTAATCCAAGACATAATCATTCAAATGAGTGGGGAGTTTCTTCTGGCGAGTGGACTGCCTGAGGTGGTTTAGAGGTGTGTGGGGGGAAACGTGTGCATCATGGGTAGTTGTGGTAACTACTGTATCAGCCTCCGGCTCGGCCAGCTGCCGCTGCTGTGTCGCCATCCCATCTCCGCCGAGTTGCGGTACAAAGGTACAACATGGGCCTTCCGTCGCCACCGCCAGGTCCCCATGCCGTTTGGCCGCCGCACTGCCGCTGTACCGTCGCATTTGCACCACCGGCCACATTCCTCTGCCTCTGGAAACAAGTGTCCACATGGAAGAGATGCCTTGCTTGGTAACTTGTTGACACGGTCACACCGAGAAACAAAAATAAAAGACTTAAAAGGGCAAATATGGAAGACACGGGAAATTAGGTCTTATTTAGGAGTTTAAAAAGTCAAGGTCTTATTTAATTACATACGAAAACTTAAGCTCCTATTTACCACCATTTCTCCATTAATAACAACATTCTATGCAGTATTAAATACATATTAAATACATATTTATTTATTGAAATATTACCAATGATATTGAATACAAATAGAAATAGACATAATAGAAATTATATATTAATTGATTAAATCAGAAAGTGACGAAGCTTTTTGGATAACTCAAAAAGTAACGAATGACAAAATTACAAGGGACAAAGAAAATATGGAGTATTAAATAGGGAAGTAATTAAGGTAATGAGTCACTTTCGTGATGATGAGAAAGTCTAAAACTAGAGAAATTACAACAAAAGATGAAACAAATGAAAAAACTAGGTACTTATGTAAAATAACGATATATAACTATAGGTAAAGTTTGGCAAATATTAAACTTTTAGCAAATAATAAATAACTTCTCAAAAATAATGGACTGAAATAATTGAGTGATTGGATGATCATAATTGTTTTGTAACTTTTATTTGATCTCCTTCTATAAAAGGAAGTCACAGAAATATGTTTAATTTTATGAAAGAATGACCTCTATATTACCATTACCTTTTCAATTCCAAAAATATTACTCCGTATGTTTTTCCAATTTTCCGAAGAAGTGCCATTAATAAACCATACTCCCTCCGTCCCTTATAACTTTGCCAACTTTCCTTTTTTGGTTGTCCCAAAAACTTTGCCACTTTCCATTTTAATCAATCAATTTGTGGCTCATGTTATTTCTCTCTCCTCTGCACAAATCTCTACCACACAATTTTTACTTTATTATTCTACGTGCCGGTCAAACATGGCAAACCTTTAAGGGACGGAGGGAGTATCTTGCAAGCATCAATGAGAGCACAACGATGGTATGCGACATTCGTTCCAGGGTAGATTCGATGGCCACGTGCCTCGCATCATCTGCTCGGAAGCGTTGACCGCGCCACCTGGCACCATCGTCTGATGTCTCCTTCCCGTCGCCTGCTGCCGTTCGTCACAGAGGTTTGGTAGTTGCAGAGAACGTTGAAGGTCTTTCAATTTTCTACCCAGTGAGCATCTCCGAAAAATAGAATTTACTTTGGGTTAAATTTGTTGAGAAAACTGAAGAAGGATAATCAATTTCCTCCTTCAATTCGTAAGGATCCAGCAACAAGGAACGTAGGTCTGGTAGTTGCAGATGAAAATGAAGATGATGTGTAGGACTGTCTTGGCCCATGATGATTTAACAACGACATGGTCGTCGTAGGTCACAGTTCTGTTGCGCATGGGGGGGGGGGGGCGAATCTAGGCTTGGGTTGGAGAGAGGTCTGAATGGGGTTCTGCCTGGTGGGGGTGGGGTGTGGCCTAGGCGGTAGCGTCAGTCACTAGATGGCCAGGGCGATGGTCTCTGGACAAAGCGGTGCACCGACAACGATGTCACAATGACGGTGTCACTGTGGCAACTGAACACGCACTCCCGATGTCATCCGTTAGTGACATGGAAATCTGATAGTGACACATTTAGTGACATGAGGAAATCACATTGACATGAAAAATCACAATGACATAAAAAATGTAGTGACATCAAGTTTTTTTAAAAAAATGACCTTGTTAATCATATTTTTGTCAATATTTAAAAGTGGCGACTTTTTGAAAATCGACTTAAACTTAGTACTACTTCCGTCTTATTTTATGTGTCCTACTTTGACTTGGCACAATTATTAATGAAGTGGTTCAAAAAGTAAAAGTTGTGATTGAGATTTGAGTATAATAAAGTGAAATGGTGTAGACCACATATTTCTTTCCAAAAAGGGAAAGAAGACACTTATTTTGGGACAATCCAAAAAGGAAAATAGGACAGGTAAAGTATGACAGGAAAGTAGGAGTAATATTTAAGGAAAACCCCTAATTCCAACTATTTGAAAGTAAAATGAGGTATGCATTACATTCCAACTCAAATATTGTGATCGTAACAATTTGTGAAATTGCAGGAAGTTAGTGAAAGTTGTTATCAAACGATACGACAATCATGGTCCGTTATTGATAAGTTTGCTTCCAATCCGAGGGGTCTCTCCATTCTTAGTGACAAATTCAAACTTTGCAAGTAAATCTTCTTTGCTAGCATTAAATATCTCTTTCACTCTCCTTTAATTTATAATCATTATCATTTAGATTTCTATGGATCCATTTTCCTATCTAGCCAAGTACTTGGTGTGGTTATTAGAGTTAGATGTGTAAAGTTGCTTGATTCTCACAATTGCATAGGGAATGATAAATACCAAGAGAATGAGGTAGACAATTTATCCAGACAAGCTCACATGTGATAGTAGCAGTAGCCATGAAACGATATTTAGCTTTCACAAAGGATAGAGAGACAGTTGGTTGTTCCATTGTTTTCCATGAGATAGAAGAATATCAAAAAGAACAATATAGTCACCACCTTTTAAGAGGAGATGCCCTCTTAGCTTATATAGGCTACCCAAGTGATTTGTGTGGGTGCTGCATAAATATTGCTAGGACGTGTAGAGAATAGTGTGGATCAAATCGTTGGGTTACCGCTACACAAAAAATAATCGCTGATACTTTAGCATGCCTTCTCCCATTATAGCGCATGCGAAGCGCCGCGCAGTGGCCGAGCCAGAAATGGTAGGTTAGGGAGCCAAATCTTAAAGAATTTATGTTCCGGGGGTCAGGGCCTAAAATAACACTATATCTTTTACTATTTTTTTTTACCCCGGAAGGTCAACCACCAAAATCGGTGGGGTAAATGCCGGGGGACATTTACCGTCTTTTATTAACGCAACAAAATGAAATCAAAGAGGGGGACTATACCAGAACCTCTTGTAAACAATATGAAAAATAGGTTCTATATGCATATATATGGTGTAGATGACGAGTCCAGCTTGATGATTCCTCGAAATTTAGCAGGCATATTATCCCCGAGTTTCCACTTAAAGGCCCCATAATGGCCCATCTCAGCCAAGAAACTTGCAGCTCTGTTTGTTTGGATCGGATAGAGCCTAAAGGATAGATCCATATCATATAGGCCCATCTCCCTAGTAATAAAATCCAGCTCATGCTCAGAATAAAAATCGACATCAAGGCGCAGATGCCGGATCCATCTCATCTTCTCCACTACCTGTCTGAAGACGTCTTCCCCCGTCGCACCACCGCTCAGCGGGAAGCCCTCTGCCGCAACCACCGCTCCCCTGTGATCTCGAAGCAAGACGCCAACAGCAGATTTCCCATTCTGTCTGTGAATAGCCCAATTAAGCTTCATTCTCGACAGCATCGGTTTAACCCAAAAGCATTTCCTTGGCTTCCTCGATCTGAAACACGCAGGTAACAGACCAACCCCTTTCAACCTTGTATAACCAGTTAGTTGGTCATTCGCATAGCTCCATGAAGTCATGAAACTACAGATCTGTCTAAGCATTGTGTCTCTGACTGGAACGACATCATCCCAAATTGCCACCCAGTATGCTTTCCAAATGTGCCAAGAAATCACACCTGGTAAAACTGCCGAGTAAGTAGCATCCAACGATTTCCCCTTTATTGAAATCCACCATTTCATAATTTCCAACTTAATTTGATTAGTTTGTCTGCCATATATCATCAAGGTGCCCTCAAAGAAGTTCCAAATTGACCTAGCCAGGGCACAGTCTAGGAGAACATGGTCCGGAGTTGCAGAGGCTGACTTGCACATAGGACATTGAGAAGGAAAGGCTGCTGAAAAGGAGGCAAGTCTTTCAGGAAAAGGGAGGCCGTTGTTCCAGAGTCTCCATAGAAATAATCTTATCTTTGGTACCTGTTTTTTGTGCCAAATGTTAGTATTAGAAATGGTAGCACCCCTCCCCTGCCAGAGAGCCCTGTATGCCGACTTGAAAGAGAAATCCCCATTTTGAGTGTGTTTCCATTTGATAGAGGCATTACCTCTATCAACCATGATATCAGCCTCCTCATTAACCTGACAAATTCTTCTCCAACCTGGAGAGTCAGGAGGCTTGACAACACCTATGGGCCTATGTCCATATTTACTTTGCATAAGACCAGACCAAATGGAATTTCCCTTCTGGTAATCCCACCAAAGCTTAATGGCCGAGAGTTTTTGAATGTCCGCGAGAGACCTAATGCCTACCCCCCCCCCCCCCCACCTCCTTGGGCCTACACATTTTTTTCAGACTTATCCAGTGATGCTTGGGTGTGGAGTTATTAAAACCCCAGAAGAAATTGGCAATCTTTCTATTGATCATACGAATAACAGACTCCAGAATCTTGGTGACTGCTAGAATATCATTAGGCAAGGCACTTAAAACATGTTTAATAAGGGTTAGCCTTCCAGCTTGAGATAGAGTTCTTTGCCTCCATACTAAAAGTTTTTTATCAAAAGCCTGAAGCAACTCCTTATGGTGCCCCACACGAGTGATCCCTTTATGAATTTGAACACCCAGATACTTAAAGGGGAGCTTAGAAACCCTCATTCCGAGCACATTTTCTAGATGTAAAATTCTCCCCGGGGATGCAAACTTGCCTACCACAAAGTTACTCTTATCCTTATTCACCAGTAGACCAGAAGCCTTTTGATAATCTTTAAGGAACCTGTCAAAATTTTTCGTAGACCTGGCAGATCCATTTAGGAAAACCATTAGGTCATCCGCAAAAGCCAGGTGTGATATACTCTGATGGTCCCGGATAGGGTAAAAGTCTAGAGGGGGGGGTGAATAGACTTTTAAATCTTTTTCGACTTTTAGAAGTTTTCCCTCTAGATGAGTAGATCTATAACCTTTTGAGAGATTGATAGATGCACAGCGGAAGTCTTTACCCTTTATGTAATGAGTGTTTCACCTCTTTCTAATTTGGTGAAGATTTGGACTTAGATAACTAGCAGCTGGCTTGGCAGTTAGCTTAGCAGTTGGCTAGATAGCAGGGAACTGCTGAGGCATCTGCTAGGGAAATATTGACTTTATGATGAGAGTGATGGTGGAAATTTGTTTAGGATGAAGAGAGATGTCTGAAAAAGTACTTTAGTAAGAGTAAGATGAAGTTTAACAGGAACAGTGGTCTCAGCAGTTGGGTGGTACTGAGGGAACTGCTAAGCCACCTGCTAAGGTGATAAGCAGACTTTCAGAGATCCATTTAAGCAAAACTTCTTGTTGATGATGTTATAAGAATCTGGTGATGTCTGAGTTAATTGAAGGAAATATATGTATGTGAGCAGAGGGGTCAGCAGTTGGGTGATGAAGGAACTGCTGAGGCACCTGCTATATTTAGAAAGTGAATTTCCGGGAACTGATAGAACAACCTTTTTGGTGATGCTTTGGCAAGTAGACTGTGTGAAAATAGTCTCAAAGACAGTAAGTAATTAAGCAGTAGGATAAGCAGTTGGGTCGGTTAAGACAACTGCTTAGGATTCTGCTGGCAAACTTCAATCTTTATACGAGAAGTGATGGGTGTGTGCTTTGTTGAATGAAGTAGAATCAACACACAATGTATCCTGGTTCAGAGGTGGTGTAATCCTCCTACATCCAGTCCCAACCTATTTCAGATGGATTTCCACTAAAGTATTAAGCCCAATACACTTAGTGCCAATCTAGCCTTTACAACACTTAGGCCTAGATTGAAGGTTTTTCACAATGAGTATGTCACCACTCAAAGTTACTCAGTCCTTAGACTTTTCTCGATTGATCCAGTGGGGATCAAAAGGTACTCTATCTATCTAACCACACTTTAGGATCCGAACAACTGTTCTCCTAAGTGTTTTCAACAACTTGTGATTACAAGAAATTTCTAACCTCCAACTATGAACTAAGCTCTAAACATATGAAAGTATTGATCTAATCTAAGAGCTTAGTGAAGCATGAGGCTAAGCAGAGAGTGAAGTTGAATTTGCACTTTCTCTTTTGCTAGATAGCTCGAATATGCTTTTGATGAAGGTATTTCTCTACTTAGGATGCTCAAGCTTATTTTCGAACTCATGCTTCTACCTATATTTATAGGCCTTCATGGTTGATTAATCTCATCCGTTGGTTGAGATGAATTAATCCTTGTCGTTGAAGATCTCTGGCAAGGATAAGTAGTACAATTGTCTTCTTGTGCTGGAGCATTAATTTTCAGCTGATCACTTTGTCTTGTATTATGTGTGCGTCCCATGCCGCGGCCCCAGTACTTGATCCGGTATTAAATGCCGGTCAAGTTTTGTCTTCAATCATATACATTCAATGTATATGTTTATGTGACATTTAATTTTTGTGTGCTAATAGAATTATACTGGTAGGATTTAAATATCCTTTTAAGGTAAAAGAATTTTTACCTTATTGTATTTTGACTTTCCAGTGTAATTTTATTAGTTCCAAAAATTTTACATTTATTTTGTCACATTTTAATGCTAATATTTGAATTTAATTTAGACACAATGTACGGGTGCAAAGTATAGTGGCATCATCAAAATCTATCAAAATTGGGTACTAACAGTTTCCCCCTTTTTGATGATGCCAAAACTATACAACACAAGAAACAATTGTTTTTATTGATTTTTATTGAGAATATTGTACATTGGTCTACAGTCTAAAGTACAATAGTTTTTAGTCACTTTCGGACTTTCCTTGAAGTCTACTTTTGTTGGTTTCCTCCAGCTTCTTCTTGGCTTTTGCTTCTTCAGCTTTCCTTTGTCTGATCTCCGCTTCTTCTTGGAGGAGCTTGTTCTTTCTCCTGGTTTCTGCGGCTTTCTTTGCTGCTAGTGATCTTACAGATGAGGGGCCTGCTTGTGTTGTTCTTTCCCCCTTTTTGGCATCAGCAGCAGGGGTCTGGCTTTCGTTGAATAGAGCTTCTATCTCTGGATCAGAGTCAGGATCTTCATGTGGTCTTCTGGATGTATTCAGACCATAGACTTCAATAGACAGTGCCTTGATGTGGTTGTTGATGTCCAGAAGATCCGTTTTTACCTCATCTTTGACTTCGTGTTCCAAGTTCTGAAGTTTGTGTTTTGTCTGTGCCAAGTCTTGTCCTAGTTTCTGGAAGTCCTTGCCTTGCTGCCAGAAGGTTTCTTGAGTTCCTTTGTGGAGAACTTGGAAGTTGTGAGCAATGTCCTTAGTGAGCTGTTCATAGGCTT